TTGATTTTTGTGCCCGTTGTGATGCTGTTAAAAAAGTTGATAGCCAAAGGCTGCTTTTTTTTTAAACTCTGACCATTTCCTCGCCAAAAATCGTTCAGTAAAAAAGGCAGGCTTTAATTTGCATTTGAAGTCTAGCAAACTGCACGTTGCGAATCATATTGGAGAATAAAGGGTACGAGGCAGTTTAGGTTAATCCATATTTATTGGCTTCAAGCCATTTCGAATAGCACTTTGTTAACATGCAGTTCTTGTTGCAGGGGACGTGCACGGACAGTATCGTGATTTGTTGCGAATTTTTGAAATTCGCGGTTTTCCACCGGCTTCGAACTACCTGTTCCTTGGAAATTACACGGGTCATGGAAAATGGAGCCTTGAGGTTCACTTTAGAACAATTTTTGACACAAAATGTGCGCAGGCTTCGTTGCCGGAAACACCTCAGCCTAGGTCAACGGATAAATTTGACTTGAGGGAAATGAGGCAGATACGAAAAAATGCTATTTCTGATCACTGCCTATTAAGTAATAAGTGAGCGCCACGCGTAGCTGAAAATTCTGAGAAGCAGTGGTGTTTCTTGGCGTTCTAGCTAACTGCTTCAGTGGGTACCACTGATAAGGCGGTGAGAAGATTCTTGAAAACCAGAACGGAATAATAATTCTGCAGCTTTGTGTGACTTGTTTCGTGAGAGAACTTATGAATTGCCTTTCTTTATGTTGTGTTATTTTTTATACGTTGACTTGGAAAAAGCATAATAATTTTTTTAGACCATATGTTTGTTATTGGCGTATAAAGTGAAATACTCCAACAATGTTTACTTACTCCGTGGAAGCAGTGAGGCGGCCAAGATTGTCCGTTCGTCGGCATTTTATGACGACTGTAAGTCCTTAAAAATTTTTCTGCATTTTTCTTTGGTCCACAGTGATTTGGGGCATCTGTAAAAACACTATTTTTTCTTCCGCGCCGTGAGTAGTGCAATCGAGAACTACAAGTAATCCTGGAAATGAGTTGCGGAAAAGATGACTAAAATGACTTTTAAAGTCTCAGTTGGTTTGTGTGAGTTTATTCAGGGTTAGTTTAGCTCGACGTATGACTATGGGTCGAGAGGTTAAGTTTTAAAATCCCGGGTTGAAATATTGATTTCCAAATACCGTTGTGCTGAAAATTTTGTGTCGCTCTTGCAGCCACATTTGTTTTAACATCAATACTGGGTCCTTTGGCGACATTAGGTGCATATTCGTAATTGCTGTAATTTTTACTAACTTCTGGCGTAAAGCTAACGTGAGGCCGGCTTGACGTAAAGCTGGCCTTACGTTGCGTAGAAGGGTCATCACACATTTGGCCGTTAGAAACAGTTAGTACAAGCTCTTTTAGCTAATCAAATATAAGCGTTGCGGAGTTATTAAGCAGACTGACGTATTATTACCGAAAATTTATGTACGATGAACTGTTCTGGGAATTCTAGAAAATTTCTAGAAATACTAAGTCAAGCGCTACCCGACAAATACGCAACTTGAGCATTTTTGTTGCAGTAGTTCGAAACGTCGATTGGCAATCGCTCTTTTATCGTAACACCTAACACACCATTTTAGTGAGTCCAGAAACCTGTGCATCTTTAACAATCTCTGATTTTCTTTGCTAACGTGTTAGCATTTTGATTAGTATGAAATCCGTTTCGGCATTTCCTTCCTTGTTCCCTTTTCCTCACTTACTAATGATCTTCCTGTACTTTCCATACTTTCATTACCCTTCCTCAAAAATTGGCCAACGCACGGGCTGCCCGTGCGAAGATGCGTTTTTTTGCATGGTTCCCCGTAGTTTTTGTTGCTACCGGCACCGGTTTTTTCAGCGAATGCTTCTAGCTAAACAAATTAAGACTGGC